TTCGACGACGTAGTCGTGAGTGAATGTCTGGTCGATGTTAGCACAGCAAAGCTGGTTCGTGCTCGCCGTCTGACCATAGACCGACTTGTACTACTTTAAACTTCGTAGCTGTACCTTAATAGCCCGGCCGTGTTTTAAATTCATCCCTTCGCGGTGTGCCACCGCAACGAGTTACTTTGAAATAGTATGTCCTTGATGGTTACACGAACTTCACAACTTTTTATAGTCCCCTTATTTGAATGAGACGACTCATCGTACTCTACAACATCTGCGATGAATGTATAAAAAGAATATCGTGACACTGTCATAGTATAAGACAGAACAGTGAGTTTGGTTTTTTTTTTATAATTTCATTTATATTTGGACGTAANGCGTCAAAATTATGTTAAAATCCAACAATATCAATGCGAGATCGAGCATCGAAAAAATAAGATGTTGACTTATTACTCGTTTTGAATTTTGTCCCCCTAGGGGAGACTAACACATGCACGTAGCTGGCTCAATCTCGTTGTTACTAGCTGTACAATTTAAGAATCTCGCGGCACAGTGGTTGAGAATCACTGATATAGAGGATCGCCAACGCTTGTAAAAATTTCAAATTGAAATGAAATCCCGACTGATCTTAATTAATAACAATCCCCTAGAAGCGATCTTCACCCTAGGGGGGATCCGTGGTCGACACTTACGGTCTCGTCGTTGACTGGTAACGCTGTCAGCAGCGTTGCAAGCTTCTTGGACAGGGCCGCAGGTGAGCAAGGGCCGCGTTGCCTTTTGTTTCCGAGGGTGGATAGAATTACGAGGGACGGTGGTCCCCGTCGCCGTACATGTACGTGGGATGGGAGTGCATTTAATTTCACGTATTTCGTTCACGGCCTGGATACGTCGCCAGGATGCGAGGGAGAGCAGGGCCGGGGGACAGGAAGGAAGAGGGCCAGGTTAATGTACGGGCCACGGGGATTGGGGGAGTCTAAACGAGCCCTGGCTGAATAAGACGCGCCGCCGAAGACGGAAGCGACGAGGGATCCTCCGGGTTAGTCGAGAACCTCGTAAATAATTGTGCTACCGAACCGAGAATGAATAATTAATCATAGGAAATGCATTTTTCTAAGGTACATCAACTTTTGGGATTGATTGTATTGCCAACACATCCTTAATATTGGAACTACCAGTGATTAACATATAAACATATGTACACCTCCACCGGAGAGGTCAAAATGACTTGTTTCTCAAATTAATAAGTCATAAGAAAAGACATAGCAATTCTTACGTTTTTATAAATGAAAACTGAATAATGAATTGATATTGATAATAATAATAATTTAGTAACAATAATTTCTGTGGAGATAAAAATTAC